CTCCCGGACATTAGTCCATGCGATTACCACATCTTCCGGTCCATGCAAAATTTCTTGGACGGAAAACAGCTGAAGAACGAGCGCGACCTCGAGGACGTGATCGAGGACTGGGCCGAGTCGCGGCCGGCCAGCTTTTGGGAGGATGGAGTTGCCTCTCTACCCGATCGTTGGCGAAAGGTAGTGGGTATGCATGGAGATTATATCATGGACCGGTAAGTTCAACTTGGTGAGATATCTTTACCAGCTCTGAAAAAACGAATGGCCAACGAACTTTGTGGACACCCTAATAAAAAAAAGCGCCACTAATCATGGGAAAGCTCAGTAGCACATTCGCTTTATATTCATGGCACCACCATCGGTGAGTGCTCGTGTTTGGTGAGTTCTCCGTCGTCTCCGTCATATCTCGCCACTTTTCACCACCTCGCCAATAGCCATTTCCATCATGCGCAACCATGATTTCACAAATGGTAAACCCTGGTTGTTGTCCTAAGTCTACGCGGGCAAGCGATGAGAAACATCGGCTGCTGAAACATCCCTGCCACCTTGTTGATTAAAATTGTTCATGACCAACTACAGCGTAGCCCTACGATCCAATTCGAAAAAAAAAAACATCTCTGACAAGTAGAAGTGCAAGCAGTAGAAGAAGGATTGGCCTTGTAGAAGTGCAGATCTATACGGAAATGTTGCCATCACGTTGACTAGGGGACCTGCATGACCAGAGATGGTTGCGCTGCCAAAATTGAGCTGCAGAGAGAAATGGCGCTCCAGCCATACATGAGTGGATGCAGAAAGAAGCGCGTACGTCCACGGCTATGCGTATAGCCGACGTGCAGCGTGTGCGTTTCGTGACATAATCTCAATATTGAACGGCGGGCGAATGCACAAAAAACGTAGCCATCATGATCCTGCAGCCTTATTCCGCCCATACTCGAGTGGTGCAAGTGGTACACTTCTGTAGCTGCGGGCCTGCTCATTTCGCATATAGGAGGGATTCAACTAGCAGATGATCACTCAGTGTACCTTTGATCTGTAAACAGTGTACAGCATCGGGCAGCATGTGTGAAATGGCGGTGTTAGAGCGTGTCAGACTTCGCGGTCGCGCGATCGCGCTACTGTGGGTGAATACACCGGGAGGGGGGCGGGGGCGGGTCATGTTCGTTCATATTTATTGTTCCCTCGCTTCTCGGTTTTTCCTTTTCCTTTCTTCCTTTGTGTACATAACGCCCTCCTAATTTTAAGGAACGTTTCGAAATATCTTTGAGTTATTTATTATTTCCTATGTAAAATAGTACTAAATATACAATATGCTAATTATTATACTGAATTTTGCATCTGAGTACGTTCAAGCGGAGTATTGAACATCTTGTTCCAAAAATAAGACACGCAGACACTTTCACAGCGCGAGGTGATGTTGTTTCTCCTCTCGTTCCCCCGATCTCTTGCCCCATGTCCTCAGATACTTCACTTTTCTTCTGATTCACAATTGTGTTTGCTTTGTTTGTTCTGCCATCCTCCAGGTCTATACACAACCTTTCCTTTCAACGGTTTCTGCAACGTCAGTATTGCGAATATGAACACGGAATAAAAGACATCAAAAAAGGTCGAACTTACTTTTATATCGTTTTTGGAACTGCCTATTGGAGGCAGGATACAGCATCGTGATGTGAGAAATGGTGATATCAGTACGACTCCCTTCCCAGAACTTTGTTGTTGTTTGTTGAGTTGAGTTGAACATGAACGAACATGACCCCCTCCCGGTGTAATTTCACCCACAGTAGCGCGATCGCGCGATCGCGAAGTCTGAACGCGCTCTTAGTACGA